AGAAAGGGAAGTGCTTTCATGCCCAAGTGTAAGGGTGAATGGATTTGATTAGGAGTCATTTGCTGTGTGTGGATGGCTGAAATGTCGTATGTCAGGGTGGAGTCAGATAGGATGGCCAGTTATATTTAAGTGACTGCAAAAACACACAAAAAGCAGCATCTACACACAGATTTACCACACATGGAGAATCAAGGCTTTGTATTATGTCTAGATTCTGCTTTATTTATATTAAATTCACTTGCTTAATGTAAATATTTGAAATGATTTATTTTTTTATTTTACAGAAACAAAAAGAGAAAAACCTTTTAGAGAAAGTTGGAAAAATCTGAGCTATTGAACTTCATAAAAAGGTGTCATGTCCCTTGTGTGTTATTTTAATTACTGATATTTGTAATGCACTGCAATGCACTTCAACAGTATTGTCTTAAAATATAAGGTGCCCATAAAAATGTTTTAAAGGTGAACCTGTATAAATAAGTATCAGTGAAACAGATCCCCTTAATCCAGAAGGGTAGAAGGAGAGTGATATACTGAGGGAGAGTGAGGACGGAAGCAATAGAAAATAAATGGAGCAATGAGAGAGAGAGGGAGTGAAAGAGGGTCTAGCAAAACACCAGTGGAGAAGCAGACCCATTTCCATGGCAACAGTGTTTCTCTCACCTACTGCACATGTCAAAGCTGAAAATACATGCAGTGTTGGCACTTATACGCACACAAACACACACACGCACACTGCCCCCATGGATACCGCTCACGTCATCTCATCCACACATGGTAACAGTGGAGAGGAAGCTGCTTCATCAATGCAAACAGAAACAGGAGAAGCCCTGTTTGGCTCTGCTACTGTTAATAAAGAGCAACTGATATGACAGCAGTGTTCTGATATTCAGCCTTGTGCTTACCTTTATGTATTCCCATTGACATGAACAGACGCTTACAAGGCCCGACCCTCTCCTGCATGATTCATTTAAGCCAAATTGATATATATATATAGATATCTATCTATCTGCTCGTTTGTTAATAAAAATGAAATAAAATGCAATACTTTACTGTATTTTATAAGAGCAGAGTGAAGCCAAAACTCTGGATTTGACAAACACATACAGGTCCTTTCAAAGTCGGCGTGGTTCAAATGTTCTCTTTCTATATTTTATTTTTCTGGCATTCGGTTTGCAGCTGAGCAGTACGTTTGGGGTGATTTGACATTTTCAGTCTTTCCTTGTGTTTCCCCTGCTCCGGCTGCTCTGATTGGGAGAAAGAAGAGCATCACGTCTTCAAGGCAGCATCATTTCCTTAGTCACTGATCCCCTTGTCTCCTAGCAACAGGGGGCAGGGCTCTTCAGAGTCCAGTAATAATTTCTCATCATAAACAAGAAGAGGAGAAGAGCATTTGCAGGCTCCATTAGGAGGCATTGATTTTTAGCAGGTGAAAAGGTGAAGTGAAGGAGAGTGAGGGTAGACAAAAGAAAAATATTGGTGGGAGGATTGTTGTTATTAGACACAGACAGACACTGACATGACGTTGCTGCCCTACAACACAAACTCACTGCTCATCACATGCCACTTACAGGTGTTTGCAGTGTGTGTAAATGGTTGGTTGGATATGGCTGTAGATTAAAGATGACCAATTGATAATTGGATTGTTTAAGGAATAGATAGCTGGATAAATCATGACTGCATATGAACGATGAACAGTAGTGACCATGACAACACTAGCTGGGAAGAAGAGGCAGCGAAGGCTGCAGGCCCCAAACTGTGCCCTGCTTGATCACCGGTATTACTATAAGTCTATCCATAGTTTACAAAATTGACATCAAACTGTATTAAAAAAAAGCATCGTTTTCCCATAATCTCTGCTGTGAAAAAAACACAGGTTTAAGACATCAACAACATCAGTTATTTATAAACAGTATAACTGTTAGACTGAATGATGAAAGGTGGTATATAGATGGGATGGGATAAATGCCAGCTAGACTGAAATGGATGGATGAATGAACAAGAATCGAATATAGAACATTAGACTGCTGGATGCTTGATAAATGGGTGGATAATAGATTGATGGAAGATTATTAAGTGGATAAGAGGATGGAAAGGTAGATAAGCATACAGATAGCTATGTAGCAGGAGTGGGCAATTAATTAACCGAGGAGGTCACATGAGAAACTGGACCTGTTGTGGAGGGCCACACCAATAAACTGATCTCAGATCTGCTCAGTATTAATATTATCTTAGAGTGACCTTCAACAGCAGTCCCAATCCCCCCTGTGCCTGATCCCTGCTATACAGGATGATCAAAAAAGGATTAAAGATATAGTCAGGCATTAAAAAAGAATTATACTCATAAATATACATTGAATAAGGTGTGACTGTGTCTTCCAACAAATTGATGCATTCTCACAAATAAAGAATTAATCTAGTAACACTATAAGAGCTGTAAGCCATCATGTTGCCCAGCCACAGTTGTGGAGATGGACATGGATGTTCTGTCTAATCACATTTTATGTATGTGGCTGGAGACATATGTAGCATGCCAAAGATGGAAGGGAAGAAAACTTGTAGGTGTTCAAGTTGCAGGGAGGAACATTTTAATTCATGGCTGCAACTTCAGACATAAGATATGAAGGGTCGTACCTATGTTTTATTGTTTTATTTATGTGTTTTCACTATGTGTGTGAAAACACATAGGAAAAAAGACAATGATATCCTCTTCCTCCTCACTTCAAGCCTCTTCCCATGAACTTAAGTCATGGCTCTGTCACATGTAAATGCATATAAACATGCTTATTGCAAATATTGTTGCAGTTACTTATTGTCAGCATATTAGACATGCAACCATCCGATCTACGACAGCTGGCATCAAGCTGACTAAATAATAAAAACACCTCTAGTAGAGATTACATGTAAACTCACACTCCAAACATAGAATTCATGATTGTCTGCAATCTAAGATTATGGAAAATATATATATTTTTAAATTTTTACATGTTGGTGTCAGTCCTTTCTTGTATCATCTTTGAAAGTAATCCATGGTCTGATATATACTCGGCAGTAAACAACCGATCTCCATATACAGTTAATATCTGCATCTTGGCAATCTTTGTGTTTGGCTTATGTCTGTATTTTTAAAGGAGCTTTTATTCTTGCTTTTGCCCTCGTTTTGATTCAAAACAGTTGTATGGGTAAATGACTAAACCATATAAGTCTAATAAATGTGGACTGAGTATGAATGCAATTAGATGAACATTTTCCACTTTAGCTTTTGGCTGTTCAGCAAACCATTATAGCAGTCCTATTTCAAAGACAGGCAGGCTTCTTTCTTTCTTGGGAGTGAGAGACCTCTGGATATCTGGGATGAGTGTCTCACTGCATACAAATGTGCTTGAAGGCAACACTTAGCCAACAGAAATGAATTAACCTCCATTCCATTCAGCAACTGTTACCTTACAGTCTGCAACAAGTAAATTCGGTTAATAGGAGTGCTGTCTGTTACAACAAAGGTTTAAATCTTTACGATATTGGTTATAATACATTCCTGGTACTTGTGATTTCTCGGTGTATGAAGTATTTACAGAACAGTAGCTTATTAAATTATGGGTTTTTTTTCTCTTCCTCACAGTTTCCTTTGTGAGGTTTGTTTCCTAAAATAGTTTAAGGTGACTGTGACTGTGTTTTGTATGGCAGCTGAGAATTACACCAGTGTTTCTCCTACCATTGCCTTGAGGGGGCGATCCAGTACTGCAGCCTCACCCCACAGTCAGCCTAGAGAAAACACCGTTAACTTTAATCTGGACTAGCACAGATGTTTAAAAAGAATATGACTTGGATCCAAACTAAATTTTATAGATGGTAAAACTGACAAAACAAATGAACAAACAAAAATGAATAAATAAATAAATAAAGGTTTGATAATACTATATTACTTAGTATCAAAAATAAATGTTATAGCATTAAGTTTAATTAGGTTTTAGTTCTAGAGCAACTATACTGTTTTTGTTTCATTTTGTTTTTTTGCTCATGTCTCTCAAATTGTAAAAACGAAATAGATTATTTTAGATTCATAACTTTAAATAACTCTAAATAACTTTTTTTTCTGATTGTGCTGTAGAAGGTGGCAGACCTCCAAAACAGTTGTTCAACATTGTTCATGTTCTTGTTTTATTTGCATTTGTTTTTTTACAGGTTTTTCTGTATGTGAGGCAAACAGAGAGCACTAAAGACTATAATAGGCTTAGCAACGACTTGCCATGTGCTGTGTGTGTGTCTGTTTTGTATGTGTAGCTGCAGGGATAGTGATGATAAGTGAAGCAGACTGTACTGTCCCAGTGCCCTCTGACTTACTGTCTCTCAAATGCTTTGCTTGTGTGTTGTTTCAGCAGCAGTGAATCTCTTCTTCTTTTTTGCCAACAAACTCATATCTTGCACACTGTGTATGATTAGCGTTAGAGTAAATAAATGTGCCTAATTTTCCAACTCTTGTTTTATGAATTGATTGTTTAGCCTAACGGAGTCATCGATTTTGAGAGGTTTCATCATCAAAGCAATTAACAAATTGATTCAATTGCAGTGCTGCACGAAAGGCCAGAGGTATTATATCTGTTTCTTTTGGGGGCGTGAATATTTTTAACAATTTCCTGTTTCCAGGGTCAATATCATGAATTTGTTTTGAAATTTTTGTACTAATTTTCTTAATAGAATAGGTTTCTTAGCTTTAAAAGTAAAAAGATAAAATGAGAAATAGCAGAGCAGATTGAGTTTTTACTCTAACCTCATTACTGCAGGTAAATTCTGTCAGGTAGAAAAGCTTGATGCTAGAAATAGTCCGTCTCAGCTTTAAACGGCACTGTGTGTTGGCAGTGAATGTGTTCCTGTTGAAGACAGAGTTGCTTCCAATTGGCTAGCTAAATCTCCTCATCCCATCCACATACACTCTCTCTCACTGTCTTCCTCTCTCTCTCTCTTCCCTGTCTTGACTGATGTCGGGCTTATTCCAATCCCTGCAGAGCCGTGTGAGACGAGGAACCAATAGCATGTCGGGGAAGGCGGAGCTAGGAGCAGTCGGCCAGCTTCAGGCAGAGATGCTGCATTTGGACCTCATCGATGGTGCTGACGGTTACCGCGGTGACAAAGAATCCTCGAAGGCGTCTGCAATTTCAACTCCGCCAGTCACCAAGGACCCTGCAGCACCTGTTACCATGGATACTTACCGGCCCAAGAGACCCACGACCCTTAACCTCTTCCCAATCGTGCCACGCACACAGGTATAGCCTGAATTAACCTTATCCTCTCGCTCTCTCACACACACACACATTCACTCACACAGTTAAACAGTTTGTGGCAGGTGGACAAATATTGATGAGTAATTCTGGAGGACTGTGGGAATGTTTCAGTGTTTTTCTTTCAGTGTTTTTTCACTCCACCTATATTGGAGCCTCCTCTCGCACAAATATTATGTTTGAAATTGTAAATATAACTGGATAACCTACTTGACATCACCACTGGATTCACTACAATTGCTTCTCTGACAGGATGTGTTTTCTCCACTGAACAATAGCCTCAACTGTCATTTCTTTTTTTCTATTGGTGCCCGTCTCTGTTTGCTTCAATGGCGCTTGAGCTCGTGACCATTCGTGTCTGTGTGTGTCTGTGTGTGTGTGTCCATGTAAATCAATCTAAGTGAGGACCAGCACTAAGAAGGAAGACATTTTAGGGTAGTTTTAGGCTTTAGTTTTGGAATGGGAACTAAAAAATGTAAAGTATCGATAAAGAGCAGCGGTGTAGCCATACAAATGTGTGCAACCATGTTCGGGTTTACTGCGACAGTGAAGGTGTGTTTAAAAAATGTATTTGCACTATAGAGCACACATTTAGATTTTTCTTTTTTTGTTCAGTAAAACCTATGAATTAAAAATTGAGCATTACAATCTGCTAATTAAGTTTTGATAATGACAGTGGTATAGTTATGGTTTGAGTAGGTGGTAGACATCAGAGTGAAAGATAGTGATGAGGGCTGAAGTACTTTGTTCAGATAAGGAAAACATTATGACTTGGATCAAAAGGTTATAAAAGCCTTGGTTGTCATGGTAAAGTATGAACTGATTTGGTTCAGATAGTGTTTGTAGTTTGTTAATAATTACTTATTGAGTTACTTGAAGTTGAGGTCCTCATCTTATTGTTTTCTTGACTCCCTCCTTTATATCCGTAATGATTACTAGACCAGGACATTCATCATTATAGCCTCTTGCTAATACGTTGATCTTCTTGACTTGAGGACAGTGTCCAAGTTCAAATAAGACACATCTAATGTGCACAAAATCAAAACCTTTAGCTAGCTCCAGGAGATGTTTCAACACCTGCACAAGCGTCACTGATGTTTCTTTCAGTTCTGGGAAGGAAAAGTAGCATGTAGTGAGTGGATTAGAACTTGTTAGGTGAAAAGAGCTTCAGAGAATATGGTTGGATGAACAATACAGATACTTTGCCTTATAACCGAACAAAATACTATAAAATGGGCTAAAGAGTCAGAAATAATGTTACATGATACATTACACTGTTAATTCAGATAATAAAGGATTTGTTGCCATGACTTGTTAATGTGATGGAATTAATTTGAGAGAAAAAAGGCAAAACCATGTCATTCAAGAAAACAAATTAAATCATTTTATTCATGTTTACATTTGAATTCTAGAAATATTTCCTTTGATTCACTGAAATGTAGAACTACCTCTATGTCATATACATAGTAATGTATACAGTGAGTGAGTTTGGCCTCCTTGAGTGCAGGCAGTCAGCGTGATCAGCCAAGCGTCTACAGCCTGTTTGCCTTTGCTTTGCACTTGATCTGGAAGCAAAGTCTGCTCTGCTCAGTGCTCCGCTTTGTTCCTGTAGGTTGTTTGAGCTGTCAAAAATGAAAAGTATAAAGGAAGTAATTGGTCTCAGTTATGTTTCAACTGGGGAAATCTTCTTGTCTATTCCAGCACTGTTCATTTTTACCTTTTATACAGCAACTAGAAAAAAAACCATTTAAACCAGTGCTGAAATACTTTACTGTTGAGGTTTCTTTAAAAAGTTTAATACATGCAATGAAAGTGAAGACACAGATCAACAGGCTGCATTTTATACCAGATAAATTCATTAGCAGTTGCGGGTGTCGCGTTTTTACTTAGATACTTATTATTTAAAATACTTTTTGGTCATAAAAAATATCATCAGGTGTGATCAAGGAAATCGGGGTAATATTATGTTTTAGTAAAACGAAACACAAAACAAAATCTGTGTCTGAAATACCATCAAAATTGATAGATTGAGAAGATCACATGGCATTATAAAAAAAAAACTGATCTGTCATCGCTGAAGTAGATTTATTAAAGTATTGTTCTGTTATTGAGACAGCATGGCTAAATCAGTTGAGGCAGAGGTGACAGTGAAGACTTTCACAGTGTGCATCCTTACACAGCAGGAATGAGACAGAAGATTTAGGATGATTTCCAGTCATTAATGTTTTTTCTCAGACCTTGAATTGTTAGAAGATGAGTAGGTTGTGTACACTGGGCGACTGTTTCCAGGTCAATGAGTGTGCAGAAATGCAAAAGTATACGGCATATTTGCTCTGCATCGTTTTGCAGCGAGTCCCATGTCTGAACAAAAGCATCTCTGATCAGCGTTAACACACTGAGGGTTTTTTCAAAAGCAGTATTTTTTAATCCAGTAATGTCAATAGTGCCACATCGAGTCAGACTGTTAAGAGGTTGAATTTCATCATTAAAAACCTTTTTTCCTTGTGCAGTGGTCAAATAAATGAGGTAAAATTAGTTTTCTTTATCCATTTTAAAATGAATAACCAGTTCTGATTCTGTCCACCTTTTAGTTGTTATAGTATTTGAAATATCGAGTAGTCAAAGATGCACAGTATAATAAATCTTTTGCAGTACTGAGGAGGGTGCTGCTTTACAGACTGTCTCCACTTTTGCTTCCCAATTGAAGTGATTCAGTGGGCAGAGAGACAGACGTCCCTCCGAGAAAGGATTAATCTAACTCTAATTACTTATCGGGCATGCTCCATATGTTGAAGTGCATGTGTGTTTGTGTGGCAGTGTGACTATAAGGAAGGTCTGCTTAGATACCAGCAAGAACAAGTAGCATGTTGTCATTTAAAATTGATTTATAAAGTTTCAAGCTGACCTGGTTTTAATAGCTAGCTCAATTTGCAATGAAATTCATGCAGAAAATCCAAATATGGCAGGGTGACACAAGATGCAGCTGTGATAGGCTGAGACAGCTGTCAATTAAGGCGCCCCATCTCATTCATTCAGCTTCCAAGGTCTCCAAACACTTCAACTTGGCAAGCTTGTGTTCTGTTGTATCAAATTCACACAGATTTTAGTCATGGACTCTGAGTCCTCAGATATATGCAGTTGTTTCCTACCTGCTGATTCACTCTTTACCATGGCAACAGCCCTGTCTCCGCCTGGTACACGTAGATGGAAAAGTGAGTCACACGTAGTGGGTGGACGGAGGAGGAAAAGATGTTATTTTGTGCGTGCTGTCGTCACAGGAGTTTCCAGCTCTCCATCTGTTAAAATCTCTGTTTAACTCTTCTGTTATCTACAACTGAGTGTTAAACCATAGTCTTTCTGTGGAAGCCGTTAAAATAAGCCACTGAGTCACAAAATATATCAGTCGTGATAATGATTAGATTCATAAGCGTGTTTGGCAGGTTTTGAATAATTCCTTTTAAAACCTATTTGGTGGCTAAATGCCAAATTTTCTGGAAACACTGCTGGCTTCTTCGGCCTATTCTAGATGCCATGATCAATTAGTTTATTGGTTGCTGCATTTTTATACATATATTTTAAAAAGAGATTAAAACATGGCTTAAGAACAACTTTAATATCATGCTGAGAAGTGTTTCAGTCACTGTGTTGTGACTGATTGTGGGTGTGGACTGGATGCACTGAGTTGTATTTAATTCAGCAGAGATGTCACTGTGAGCAGCCACACCCTTTATGATCTGTTCACCAATCACTGATAAGCTGCTCTTTAAATGACTCCTTTCATCAGTGACAATGATCAGCAACCTCTCTTTTTCTGTACTTATAAATGAAAGTGTCATATAGATACCACAAAGATGTTCATATAGATTTTTGTAACAAGGTTGATTTTGCTTTTATTCTTTCTTGATTTCCATATTTAGAAATGTATAGAAAGAAAGGAAACCTCACAAGTTTCATGACTTCAATCAGCAATTACCCCCCAAAACAGCCTAAAGAGGCTGTCTGACTGCGTGAGTGTGTTTCCCAGTGGCTTGTGTAAATGTCAGGTCCCTTTAAATGCACACCACGGAGCATGGACAAAAGAGTTCCTGCTCATTCAACAGAATAAAAGGTTTGTGTGTGCATGTGTGTATATGAAGTGAGAGAGAAGCGAGAGGAAGAGAGAGACACACACACTCACACACAGAGAAGTTGTATATGTTGTGTCAGGATCCAGAATTCAGTGAGCAAACCCATCTCTGTTCCTCTTTTATCCATCTGTTGTTCCTTCTCTCAACTTCCTTCCTCTTCTTCTTTTTTCAGGACACGTTAAACAACAACTCCCTTGGTAAGAAGTACAGTTGGCAGGAGAAGGTTTCAGGCTCATCCTCGCCCCTTAAAACAGGTGAGCTTCCCCACATCATGTTTATGAGTCATGTTTTAGTTTAGACACATTTTCTCATTTAGTTGATGGTAACTGGGATGTGCTGGCCAGAATCCATTGTTGTGTTAGTAACATTCAGTCAGTGTCGGCGTGTGTGATTTGCATTGAGTCTGACAGCTTGTGTGTCCCTCTGAACCTTGGGGACACTGCTCAGCCTTGGATTAGCTGCTGGGACAAGTTGAGCTAGCTGAGGCTATGCTGTATATTGTGCGTGTTTGGAAGCCAGCTGAGGCTTAAAGCTAGCTAGAGGCTGTCATAGCCCATTGATGCTGTTCTTTGAAGAGCACCATCCAAAGCTAGAGTAACCAGATTCACAGCCAACAGTTAGAAAAATGTAAATATTAGGTGTTAAGTCGACCTTTTAAAGGCAAATCTGGGGAACAAGCTTCCAAATTCAGGCGAAATGAACTTTTATGTTCTATTCAAGTAATAGGGACAAACTTTAGAGCTTTTAAAGCACATTGTTGTGAGATGATGCCCTTTTATTCCATGCCCTATAAATTATATAAATTGAAATAATGGCAAGTGTTACAGTGTTGCTGTCTGGGTAGTTTGGTTTTATTTGGATTGGATTGAATTTCATTAGGTGTGACTGCGAGCACTATAGTCGATTTGTCATTTGATATGTCAGACTCACTGAAAAAAACAAATGTAAATCTGTTTGCCAGATCATTGCTCGTATTCATGCTGCCCCGACGTCATGCCAGCGCATATTAGGAATGGCATAGGCACCGATCGGTTTTCTATCGCCCATTTGCTGGGAGTAAGGGCGCCCTCCGTTTGCGAGGTGCGCCTGGTGCTTGCGGCACAGGGAGGAGAGGGCGGGGCGGCGGGGGATTCTCTGACTGGCTGGAGCAGCATCTAATAACCAACTCGCAAAATAAAAACAACCCAACAAACACGAAAACACCAGACATTATGATACAGACTTATAATTTGCACCAATGTTTTTTCGAAATTCTGTACGTGAAAAGTGAGCGCGAGAGCCCTCGGTGCGCCTGCTTACTGCTGAAGTCAAAGTAAAACTTTGTCATCTCCACTACATACAGTACAGTAGGCTTCAGTTACAGCAGTGCAAGTAAACAAACAATATATATAAGAAGAGTAAGAAAATAAATATACACTTTAGGACTCGGGGTAAAGGGATCAATAACAATTAAAAATTTATATTTTACAGTTTGATGATTTAAAGTCTCACACACAACCCGTCGAAAGGGGAGGGGCCCTGCTGCTTCCAAGTAGAGCACATTTCATTCATAATGTTGTAAATCCAAGCCCATTATGTATTCATGATTTGAATCCTGGGTTGTGTGAAATCCCAGAAATACACCTTAGACAAAGTCAATCTGTGAACTAAGGTTTAGGTCTATTAGGTTAATTGTGATGATCCTCGATATGGGGGATTTGTGTTCATACTGGAGTGCAAAATTAGAACCAGAGGGTGTGTTCGCCCAGGGCGCCAAACAGGTTAGGACCGCCACTGAATGAAAAGATTCTTTCAATTTTGCAGTGCTTCTTGTGTGCACAGCTTTAACATTTAAATGAAAATGAAACAGATTTAATTTGAAATCAGTCCTGTCCTGAATTAGCCCCTCTGTTATTTAAATACCATTTAAAATACTCGGGAATGATGTCTGAATCCCCTGCCAATGGATTATGACATAACACGTCAATCACCTTCTCCTGGCCACACTCTGAATTTGATGAGTAATGGGGATTTGGCTGTGTAATCCTGACATCCGTTACCTAACCATTTCTACTTTTCTCTCTTTCTGTGTGTGCTTTATTTTATCTGCCTGTGCATTCGTTGCCATGTCTGTCTTCGTGCATGTGTGCGCATTTGTTTGTCCATCATGTTTGCGTTTCTGCATCACGTATGTTTGCTCCGTGTGCGCGTCTGGGCTTTGCTTGTGCATCTGCGTCTGCATGTGTGTTTGCTTGGGTGTCTGCATGTTTCTGCTCACGCCCGCACTCCCTCTAGGTGACCTCACCCCTCCACGTGAGCACAGCTGTCTAAGCGACGAGGACAAGGTGCACGGTGGGGGAGCGCAGACCAAAGACCGCGGGACCTCCACCGACGCCCCCTGCAGACACAGTCACACCTCGGGACACTCGCACAGCTCATCTGCAGGGGCTGGGACACGGTCCAAGATTCAGGAGAAGCCACCGGCACCACCACCACCACAGAACTATACACCAGCTCCTCTATATCCTTCAGGGAAAGCGGATGGCAGTGGGTCCCACAGGGAGAGGATTAGATACCACACAGATGTTCATATAGAGCCAACAGAGGAGATCTATCTGACTCCTGTGCAACGTTCCGCAGATCCCCTGGAACCCCCCACCGTCCAGGACCGGCCTTTCCTCTCACAGCAGACTGAGCAGGGACGCATGTCCATTAGCTCTGACACAGAGGGACCACCTCCTTATCAGCCCCTCCCGGACCGGACCAACCCCTCCATCTATGAGGAAGACGAGATCTATGTCCCCCCACCGTCATACGCTTCCTGTGTAGAGTCCCTCATCACGCCACCTAGCATGGCTGTGTCAGCTCACTCCTCCCATGCACTGGACCTCAGCCTAAAGGGGACAAGTACAGGAGCTGGGGCAATGCTCAGGGCTGGGTCATCAGTTGAGTACGTTGATGCCACAGATGAAAGCTACTGTGGGGACGACGAGGATGTGGACAGGTTAATAATGGATGCAAAGATGAGAAAGGGAGGGGTAAAGGGAGCTGCCCCACCGAGGACTTCCATGAGCTCAGAGGCCAGCGGCCTGACATATGACTCAGTTAAATATACATTGGTGGTGGATGAACATGCTCAGCTGGAGTTAGTCAGTCTCCGGCAGTGTTACCAAGGCTACAGCGATGACAGCGACTCGGCCACCGTCTATGACAACTGTGTCTCGTCTCCATACGAGTCAGCCATCGGAGAGGAGTATGAGGAAGAGGAAGAGGAGCATGACCCTCGTATGGGAGGAGTGCGTCGAGAGGCCACAGCGTGCCTATCTGAGGATTCTACTCCAGAGGCGGACCTCCACTTCTCCAAGAAGTTCCTCAATGTCTTCATGAATGGGCGCTCTCGCTCCTCCAGTAAGTCTGGTAAAAACTCAATTCCAAACATAAATGGTGGCGATGGCTAGCATTTAGCTTTTGGTTTGTTTTTTTGTTGCGTAATAGTAGTAGTAGTAGTATAAAGACTTCTTGAAGAAACTCACTTTGGTTAGCAAATGTGGTCGTCTGACAGTGCTGATGGCAGTTTGGGGTTTTGTTTTTGGTTTTTTTTACATTTTTCCCTTTAATCCATTAACTACATTTCTGAGACTTGCTTGTAAATGCCAGGAAGTTTATCAGCACTACTGGCTGGTGCTCTGCCTAATTCTCTTTAAATATACACTGTCAGTGGTGTCTAGCCAAACTGGCAACAATTGCTATTCAAGGCTTAAAGCAGCGCAGCTGATGAAGCAAAGCCACAGGAATGTTCAGGAATCAAAATTTTGTCATACACTAAACACAGTCATCCACATGGCTGTCCTAACTGTGGAGTAATACAATACTAAGCCGTACTGATACACAGTATAACCATTGGCTATTACATTTACTATGTACTGTATTTGCAAAGCAGTAGTATTTTTTTTATTTATTTTAAAATTATGTCACTTCTGCTTTTAAGTCTCGAGAATAAAAGCAGTAGACTGGACATTTAAATTACCTGTTTAGTGAAAAGGTGCTCAGCCAGCTTGTTAAGGGGATGTGAGAAAACACACATCTAGAAAGAAGTTAGTGAGGCATTTGAAGTTCTAGACATAACACTTCCATAAAACTGTAAAACTTCCCAAACTGACTAAAGGCGCATTGCTTGATGTAATTTTGTGTCACTTCCACTGGAAGATTCATTCATTTTCAGTAGGAAGCAGAACAACAATGCACTGATTGTGAAATTCAGAAAATATCTACTCAGATATTCTACTGAGTATTAATAGCCTAGAAGAGACTTAGAAAGTCTAATTGAATTGTAAGTATTACCTGTTTAATTAGCTATTAACTACTACTTTTGTAGTAGTATTCCAACAGCACCCAATGCCCACTTATGTGGTTAAGTATTTAGCCGGGACAAAATTGATTTCTTGTGTCACCATATTTAGTCAACAAGGTTTATTTTATCAGAGATATGATATGATTTGTCAGATAAATCAGTGCTTTGCAAATGCTCAACATCTGTAAAACGACTGTAAAGTTTTGTTTTAACACAGTTAACTTTTAGTGAATTCCATTAAAACCTAAAAATGTTATCTAAGTTGTAAGATTTAAGAGTAAATTTGGACTATTTTGATGATAAGGGGTCTAAAGAATTAGAAATCTTGTGGGGACAATGAAGATCCCTTTGTCATATCTTATTAAAGCTGCAGGCTCTGTCTAAGAGATGTTGCTTAAACAGACTATCTGTGATCTCTCAATGAGAAAGAGCGCTGCACTGAGAGGGAGATGAGAATTCTCTGTTTGAGGACTGCAGGACTGATTCAATTGCTGTTGCCAGCCACACATTGACCCTCATCATAGTGTCTGTTAAAGAGCCAGCATTAATGGGCACAAGAGGCAATTCATGTTATGGAGACAGAGATTAGGAGATACGCGTGTTTACAGTATTTGCTCTAATAGTCCAGGCCGGTCTCTTGGAAGGGATCCATGTATTTTAGTCTCATTAGAAATGCTGCAGCAGTTTTTCTGAGCAGTTCAGGCAGCAGTCACAAAGGTCTCAGGGGAATGTAGGTAGAAATACACAATGCACGTTTGCTTCATGCCTGATTAAAGTGTGATTTATGTCTCAGAGAATGCATACATGTAAATGCTGCATCTCCTAATTATGTTCTCTGTGGTCTTTTTTGGACTTGTGTTACAAATTATAAGCCTGTGTCATTAATCTTTTTGCAAGCCTGACACAAAGGCTGACATTGCATACTGTTTACTTCCTATTTTAAAATAAATCTCTCTTGTTTTTTTGTCCTTTTTTTGGTATTCAAGGTGCAGAATCCTTTGGTTTATATTCCTGTATCATAAATGGTGAGGAGAAGGATCAGAGCCACCGAGCAGTCTATAGGTAATGACAGTTACACTACCATCCTCGCTGTAATCCCAACAGACATTGTAAAACCGTGAAAAATGACAGTATGTAGTGTGTGCTGTCACTTCTGTTGATTATGATGTTAATGAATTGTGAAAACCATAGTAAAGAAATGGGAAAAATAAGTCTTAGGGTTTGATATTGTAATAATGTTTAAAACTTGTGTGGATTGATGAAATAACACTGCGGTAATATCAAATGACACACTATGCTTATATTATCAATAAAGTGTGGCATTCATCTCCCAGTCAGTTACCGTTATAAACATTTGAGATTCTATTTTTCCTATCCAGCCTCTTATGTCTTTGGTCAAACAGACCAGATTGTGTAAGCAAAGATGATCACCTGAAGTATTAAATGCTTGGTGTTCATCTTTACTAATGAATCTTTCGTAGAAATGAGTAATTCATCCAGCAGCTTTCAGATAACTCAAATAAGTCAAACAGCATTTTTTTTTAGAATGAGCCAATCTACAGGCATTTAACAGAAAGGTGTGTTTTTTAAGTGTTTTAATGATAAACCATCATCGCAATTTTTCCATCTTGACCTACTTACTTATTTATTAAAATAAATAAGTAGATTTTACAGCACATTTAAAACCAAAGTGCTTCAATAAAACTAAAAAAAGGTTCTTAAAACTCCCTGTACTCCCTGTTCTTTTAAGAAAAGATTTTAGTCTGCAGATTGTTGACTACAGCATTTATTTGTTTGGTAAATTTCCAATTTGTGTCAAAGATGAGGTTAGTTTAGAATTATATAACTTGTAATTTAATAGTATCAAAGAGCCCGGGTCATCTTCCAAGCACTCAGTTAAAAGTAGAAGGCCAAAGAGTATGACCTCAGTTTTGCATTAATTTAACTGGAAGAAACTGGGAGATCCTACTTTTTTATTATCCAAGAATGACGTAATTGTAACTGGGAAAAGAAAACTGAGACTTTCCTATAACTGCACCAGTTGCTTTCTGGGGGTTTTTTCTGTCATATGGAAGTTTTCACCACTGGAAAAAAATGCCATCCATAACTTGACATTTTGAGTTATTTTCTCCAAATTTTTAGTTAATAAGTTGACATTTCTTTGTTACCTGAAAACAGATGGCAGTGACACAGGCACACTCAACCTTGGGTAGTGATAGTATCCATGAGCTACCAGTGTAAACATGTACAAACTGCTGCGTGCTGATAATAACAGCATGCCTTTTAGCTAATAACGCAGAGATTTCATCATTTCTGAAACCATGCTGAAAGAACTCAGCAGTTGACTCAATCATGACCTACAGCTTCAGCTTTGGTAGCTAATGCCTTCCACCTTTTGCTTACAGGTAACAAGGAAATGACGTACCTTCACAGAGCTTCCTGATTGACTGAGCTACCTTAAAATCTTGAGTTATTTTCTTGAAATTTTAGCTTGGACATATAGCTCAAGATGTTGAGTTATGGATGGCAAAGAAAAAATATACAAATAAATTTAGTGGCGGAAATAAGGTATGTCAAACATAAGGCCCAGGGGCCAGATTCAGCCCAGAAAAGACTTCAGTCCAACCCAATGGATGGCTTTAGAAAAAGGGTAAGGAGGGTGTAAATTTTGGATTTGTAACTGTATTTGCATAGGTTTTACAGCTTTCCACAGTAATACAGACCTCCCCCATAGCCATTCATACTACATCAAAGTAAACAAGTAACATGTAAAACATGAAAATGACAAAAATTCCTTTTTTTTTTTTCCTTTTTCTGATATTACTGTATTGGAGATTAAATTTGTGGTTAAATGTCTTTAGAAAGGGGAGTTTTTAGATCTGTCCCACTTAACATCAAAATGACCTGCATGTGGCCCACAGTGTAAAATGAGTTTGACAGGCCTTCTTTAAAGTGTCCTCACACTGTACATCAAATGGAAAAATACAGTGTTACTAATATATAGCTGTAAGCAAGGAACTGATTGTAGTTCATTTTTACCCTGGGTTGTGTGTAATATTGTGTAGCAACACACCTGACCAGCTAACAGACATAAGTTGCATTTAAGTCACTGATTTTATTTTTTTCTTTACACTGTTTAAAAATTTCCTTGTAACGACAAGCAGGCGTAGGAAACCCGTGTTTGACTTTTAAACCTTAAATTTCATTTTAAATTCAGAGCTACTTTGTGGAGCAGTTAGCACATAAAAATCTCACATCTTTCTCGACAGGTTTGTCCCTCGGCACGAAGATGAGTTGGAGCTAGAGGTGGATGACCCGCTGTTGGTGGAGGTCCAGGCAGAGGATTACTGGTATGAGGGCTACAATATGCGAACTGGTGCTCGTGGGGTCTTCCCGGCCTACTACGCTGTAGAGGTGACCAAGGACACGGAGAACTACAAAGGTACCAATAGTGCTGGGATTTGTAGGAGTGGGCCACGAATATGTTAGTAAAGAGAGAGATGGCTGCTTTAGGCTTAAAAAAAAAAAAAAAAAAAAAGGGGGGGGGGGGGGCTGTTTACATGCCATGAACATCAGAAATGTCATCAGTGATCAGATTTTCTAGATTCAGTACATCTGGCATAGTTGTGTTTGTGGATGGGAAGCCTATCAGGGTTCTTGCATGGAGTGTGCTCTGATATGTGGGGTTAATGTGCACTCCAGGGAGTGTTTTACTCTACTTTTGAAATCCCAAGGTGGTGTATGCAGCAAGCAACAGGGGATAAAGTATGAAATGATGTGAAGTGCAATGCTATAACAGATTATTAGTCAGTGGTACTGATCGACAGCTCAAAAATGTATTCTTTTCCCTTAAAGGAGCTAGTGACTGAATTGTAGCTGGAATATAGTGCTGTATGAAGTATTACATTTTACACATCTTGCTTCTTGTGTTTATTGTCATTGTTGTTTTTTTTCTGCTTTTCTCTGTGCAGTAAAGAGCAATGAATGGATTGACAGATACCGCCTAAAGTTTCTGGGGTCAGTTCAAGTACCCTATCACAAAGGAAACGATGTTTTGTGTGCAGCTATGCAGAAGGTAAGCTCATGTTTTTCACGCATGTGTAAGTTATAGGAGACGAGACATGTGGGGGGAAAGAGGAGCAAGAGACGCGGAAGGGAAAGAGAGAGAGGGACAGAGACCAAATACAGACATGACTGGGAGACATACACAGAGAACATGTCTCTGTCATAGGAGACACAGGGATGAGACAGAGACAAGAAAACAAGAGATGAGAGATACAAATAAACTCAGAGGCATAAAAGAACTAAACTCAACACCATAGGGGTTTAAGTTGCATTTGTGTGCCTTTGTGTTGTTTTGCTTTGATAGCTCAAAAAGTTGTGATGTTAACAATCCATTAAAGCCTTTACAACTTAGTAACTATTATTCTTGGAGTTGTTTTTATCTTGTCACATTTGACCTCTGACCTCTCCTTTAAGTTCAACAGAAGACTATGTCTCTTACTTATTGACGACATATACGCATATAGGGAATGATATATAGGGATCATAAGTTTTGCATAACGTTACTCTGACCTCTTTTTTTTAAGGTCAAACCTTTGAAAAACGTCTTTTACCTTTGTTTTAAATTCTAGTGCCTTTTGTTTCAGTTGACCTCACTGCCTATATTTTACTTTCAAGTTAACCCCAAATTGAATTTTTTTAATTGCACTTTAAAGTTAATACATTCAAAATACAATATTATCCCCTTAAAAGTAAATACTGCCCAGAGCTAGAGCTGCCTTGGCAGAGGTTTGCAATTTGTTTGTTTGCATATTCACAGGTAAAGGAAACTTTTGAAGAGCTTTATTCTAGTAACATTTTCAAAAACAATCTAACACGTGTCTTACAGATTGCTACTAACCGAAGGATGACAGTCAAGTATAACCCACCTTCCTCATGCATCCTGGAGATCAGTGTGAAGGGCATCAAGCTTTCAGTTCAAGAGGATTATTATGCTTGTGACAGAGTAAGACGTTTACTGAGCCTGTGTATGTCTACTGTGAAATAATTACATGCAACTTCACAGACTAATCAAATAAAAGCTCATCAGCAATCTTTTGGAAAGGTGAAAAGGTTAAGGATCTCACTTTTTCAGTGATGCATGGTTTGGTTCATGTGTTTTTAACTGATAAAGATTTTCTTTCAAATTAAAATATTTTGTTTCTGAAGAAGAAAAGGCTCCTAGTTGTTAGCAGTACTCAAACCAGCCTGTGTGGCAGAAATAACTGGGATGCTCAGTTTTACCTCAGCATGTTGTCTAAACCATGTCTACATCTAAATGCATTGGGTTACTACACTGCGATTTGCTATTTAGATTTTTGCATTTTTTTGTAGTTGAACAGGTTTACCTAATAAAGAGGTTGGCGAGTGTATATTTGAAGAGTAAGGCAGAGAAAGAGAGCGAGAAGCTATAATCTATCAGCACAGTGTTGAAGGAACACATGAGACACATCGCCACCATGTGGCTGCCGACTGATACTGCAGACAAACGTGTTAGTGTCAGGCCAGAGTAATTACTTCAGCGAAAAGAAACTAAGAATTCTGTGGGAATTCTATGTATGTATATGGGATCATTATCAATTTAAAAGTTCATCTGTTTAAACAATTGAGAAATTAATGTTTTACTTTTATCAAGATCTGATGTTCAGATAATACAATGTGATGCACAATCTTGATATATTTTAATATTGCAGTCGCCAACTAGTCTAAATTAAAAGCTTTAATTATTTTATCAGCAAGCAAAAAAAAAGAAAAATCAATAAAAGTAAAATATATGAAACAGGGTTTGAAATGTTTGCTTCTTGGTGTTAATCTTAGACGTTTATGCATCCTCTGTTGACAGAGTAACGAGTGCAGTCACTTCTTCCAGTTAAAGAACGTCTCCTTTTGTGGCTATCACCCAAAAAACAGCAAGTAAGTAAAAACTGAAGCAGAGAGAGCAGTTATGCTGCTCTCTCTGTCGAGACTAAAATTGCCACAAGGTCTCACTATTAGATAAATATTCAAGAATATTGGACCTCTTCCTGCTCTCTGATAAAACAAAGCAGGAGTTAATCATTATTAGGTGTCAAAGTAATATACTGAATGTCTTTTTTAAAACTTCTCTGCAGGTATTTTGGTTTCATTACGAAGCACCCAGCAGACCAGAGATTTGCCTGCCACGTATTTGTGTCTGAAAATTCTACCAAACCTCTTGCAGAGTCAGTAGGGTGAGTTGTGTTTTTTTAGGTTTCCTTTGGGCATCAGTTGGTGGTTTTAGTGAGATACGGTTTAACAAGTTGCATATATAAATACATCCCGCCAGCAGAGAATCTTTACAGCACTGAAACTTGCTGTAAATAATACTTGTATAAGTTACTATGGTGTTTAAGCCAGGTACACTAACCCATTAATCTTGATTCATACTAGGCCCTTCAGATCCTTAGTGTGTCCACGAAAGTGCACTGTACTGCAGGTTAAGAAAACAGGCAAGTCAACGTAACCCCCATCAGTCTCACAATACGGGTGCAGTATTTACTAGAAACATTTTACCTTTTAAGAAATTTGACCTGACAGGATCAGCCAGTTTTTCTCTTCTCAGCAAATCTTCTGTTATTCTGAAAGTGATAAGTGATCTTAAACAATCACTAAAACAAAATGGAACCAAATAAATACACTGCAGAAATCAATTTAAACTTAATTGAGCTCATTCAAAGGAATAAAAAATAGAAAACTGTCACAGGTTGCCGGGGCAAGCCGTGTGTGAATTATTTAGGACCCAAGATGCGGCAGCTCTGGTGCAAGTGAGTTTATTTAGCCAATGTAGATACAAACAGAGATGGCAAGGGTGAGCTTAAAACTAAGAACACCTAAACAACAAAAAACAAACCTGAAATCTTGAGACATGAAAGCAAGATGCAGGGAGACGTAGAGAACATAGGGAAAACCACACAGGATGACGGCAGGAGAAACACAGACAAACCAGCAACTACTATGACAGAAGACACGACTTAAATACACTCAGAGAAACACAGGGAGATTACACACAGGTGGGGGACACAGCTTGGAGTGATTAACGTGACGAGACAAGGGAGTCAAACTGAAAGCACTCACATAAGACGCAGACCTTCACTATAAAACAGGAACTTACACATGCAAGGACACAGACAAAGAAACGCGGACCTGACACACGAATACACGGGCAGAAAAGAATAAACACTAAACTGAGGAGGAACAGCACCAAAATCACAATAATAGAAAACAAAACGCTGGGTCAAAAGACCCAGGATCATGACAAAAACAAAACCTTAAGGCTTTTCTCAGGCATGTCTGGCACTTTGTAATGTTCTGCACCTGTTGGCTCTCGATTAGAAATGTTTATGTTGTGATTAAGTTTATGTGACGTGATGTGTTTTTCTTTTCAGGAAAGCCTTCCAGCTGTACTATAAAGAGTTTGTGGAGTTCTCATGCCCTACAGAGGACATCTACCTGGAATAGCCTTGCCTTTAACCACAACCCTGTAAAGTACGCTGTATCATAACATAATGTTGCATGAAGGACAGATATACATTAATTGGTAAAACAAAAACAAAAAAAGAGAAAAATTAAACATTAACACATCTGACAAACGAACAGGTATAGAAGGCCCAAGTTTCAGACCTGTGGTGAAAACCTTGTGCAGCAACCAGAGATGAAAATGAGCCAAAGGAGGGGTTTCCTGGCAAATGAAAATATGCAAAATGGCATCAGTGATGAGGCAAAAATGGAAAGCACAAATATTTTAACTCATCAGTTTCTGCAATGCTTGTTAGCCTGTAGCATCATGTCAGCAGAGGCAAAGCTGAAAGCCCAGGAGTCAGTCTGGACCACTTTGTACGCTGGAAAAAAGAAAGAAAAAGCAGAATTTTTGACTTGGAAGTGAACAAACAAGTGATGTTGGTTCATTTTGTCTTGAAATACTGTAACCAGGGTGTGAGCACGAGAGAGGTGTTTATTTACTAAAGACGTAACAACCTCACAATGAAAAAGGAGTACTAAACTAAATAAAACCCATGTAGGAACAGTTAATTTTATCCTTTTATCACACCTAATATGAAGGCGTATCCACATTTATTAAAAAAAAAAAACAAAGAGAGAGAGAGAAATCTCAATGAAAATCAGATGCAGTGATGTGCTCTGCATTTTGGGGGTTCTTGCCACATTTTTACTGCTTTTTGTTAAACCCAGACACAGATCTGTACTGCATATTCAAGGTACAGTAAGCACAGTGTGAATACACAAGAGTAGAATAGGTTTGCTTTTCCATTAAGCAGTTGGAGCTAACTAGTAAAGGAACAGCTGAGTATCTAAAGTTAATTTCAAATAGTTTTAGTTGAATAAAATTAAAAGATGGTTTCAGCTTCTCACTTTTCAGTCAGACAGGCAGAAGGTAAACTTTGCCGATTGATTTATATACTTTACATGCTAATGCTTAATTAAAGTAGACTTTAAACTACTTTTCTCTTGCATGTGTGCGGCTCAGTATTTGGAGATTCACACTGGTGGAGTTTTACTGGTGGATTTTTTCACTCTCGCCACTTGTGTAAGTTTGCTCCTGGTGGAAAACTACCAAAACAAAAGATTGACGGACAAACCATGGATTGATGATTTCACTTCCTGATGGAGGCTAGTGTGACCAAATGCACTGGAGTTTTAGGTTAAAGCCTAAAATGAGGGTACAAACATGTAATGTAAGTTAAATACTAAAATCTCATATTCCCCCTTTCCACCAAGGTGAGCCAGGTGCTGGCTCAAGTCTTTTGTGCTAGTGGTAGTGTGCAATTGGGCTTTCCAAATGTTGGTCAGCTTTTTCACGAGCCTTTGTAGTTTTAACTTTACAACACATGTATAAGACTATGAACACATCAAATGATTAACACTTTACTCTTTGAAATGTTACTTTGGAGTAAACATTGAAGTTCTTTTCATGACTGAATGGTTTCTGTTATTTTGTGGCATTAGAAGTTAATGAGAAATAACCCCCCCCTCTCTCTCTCTCTATATATATATATATATATATATGAAAGAGAAAGAGACTTAGGTGTCAAAAACCATCGTTAAGTTTACAGGGGACATTGACAAATGTCATCTCTAGGGGAGAAAGCATTACAGGTCTCAGCTTTTTGCTGAAGTTCTGTTGAGAAATGAAGTGAAAAGAGACAATTTGTCTCTCTCACTAACTACTGCTGGAAAACTACAGAGGTGTATTTGTATAACTGCTGCTGCTTGATTTTTTTAATTTAATATTGCCAGTCTGCTTAAATTATCATCCATACTGACACTTGGGTTTTTCTTCTAGATGATGTACTAGTTGTATTTTTTTACTAATGGCCCCAGCCCCTTTTGTACTTTTTTTCATAGTTGAAAAACAGCAAAGTGTTGATGCTACATTGAATAGTTCTTTGTGACAAAGGCAGAATAAAGAACTCCTTAAATGTACTGAGCATTGTCCATGCAGAGAATGTTTAGAGGTACACAAGTGTGTACTTTAAGCAAACATCTATTGGTGCTATCGTGCACAGCTCTGTCCATATGTTCAGTAAAGCCTTAGTAATTCCTTGTCTAATGTCAGACATGCAATGCTTCTTTACTGTGTGCTCTAATTAGGTGTGAAATTAGTGATAAAGATGTTTAACAGAGAAAAAACCCCATCTGAGTTCGGCTGTTTACTCCTTCATACGACATTTTTCTGCAACTAGAATATGACACATTCTCAGACTTGTAGAGACAAGAAAATGATACTTGGTGCAGTAGGTACAGGTGCTAACGAGGGAGCAAAAACAAAACTGGTGTCTTCAGATCTTCACTAGTAGTGCCTCTTTTTCATGAGATCATTGTTACTTTTTTGAGTCAACATTATTAAAATCTTTTAAGGGTTTTCCATTGAGTGTGTGTTGACTTTAAGGTGATGAATGCAAATTGAGTTGTTTTGCTGTGATTTGCTCTTCATTCCACTGCACTACACATTATTTGCTGTACATGTGCTGGTAATAGTCAGTTTTTCCTCTATTCATCCTCGTTCTACCATTTGTTGCCATCAGAGAGACCAGTAGAGAAGCTCCTCCAGCTCCTCTAAGGTTACACTTTCAGCAAACCTTCATTTCTGCAGGCCATCCTCAAACAGCAAACTCAAAACAGCTCCTTTCAGTGCAAAGTTGCAGCTCTATCGTTTGCGCCACTGTCCCGGTGAAGATTGAGGTGTGAGACAAATAACTGGGCTCCTAACTCTGTGCCTGGCAGAGCCAGGATGGCCTTTAGTGTAAACACACTGCTAACACCCATATCAGTGATCATCTTATTTCTGCTCATTGCCATAGATGATTGTAGAAACATGGATTGAACTGTAGGTTAACAATTTTGTGACACTCAGCTCACTGTTCACAGCAACAGTGTTTGTAGTTTCTGTTTCAAAATTCCTTTCAGATCATACAGAGTGAATATTTTATCCAAAAGATTTCAAATACACCTTCTCATTATGTCTCTGGTATCCCCAGGAGTCTACATAATACTTGGGAAATTATGAATTTTATTATTAGAGAAGGAGCTGTGTTTAATTAGCTCATGCCAGAGATTTCACAAGTTGGGCTTGATTGAGAACTTAGTCACAATGAAAAGAAACAAAAACTTGACCCAAGTGTTATGGAAGTCTATTAATGTCCTGTTTGTGAACATGTGAAACCAGTGAAAACGCATACAGTGGATAATCACTGAGACTTGATGTTGTAAAATGTGCCATAATGGTTAATAAGCAATAATGATTTTTGAGCTGTTATACCAATTATTCGGAGGAAGTGCTTGTTGCAGAGCTTTATAGACGTTTTAGTAACCCAGATTGTTCATGGTAATCTGAATTATTGAAATGAACATTAAGTTACACCATTTTTTGTGATAATGAGATTTTTTTTATTTATCAGCACACGTACAGCACAGTTGTTTTGCAGTTAAAAACAAAGTATTCTTTCTACATCATTTGTCACTAACACCGGTTTGTAACTAAATATTTTATGTGGTCAATATTTATCAGACAATTAAATAAATGTAAAAGCAAGATTCACTAATGAAGAATATTGAAAATGTTCTATTCAGCAGTTGTCTCACCAGTTGTCAGTTTTTCATTGTCAAAAACAGAAAAAAAATCATTTTGAAGAAAACAAGTTGTCTGCTGTTGTTGAAAGCCATTGTGTTTGTATCAGGAGAGATCAACACTCACTTTTCTATGAATTCCCCTCTTAAGAGCCGATCAGACTGACAGGAGAACGTGGACTGCAGCAGGGGCTATACAAAGAGTGTACAGACATGGGTGTATAAATCAAGAATTTAATTTCTGTAATTATAAATATGACATTGTATTGATTCAACATGTAGTTTGTGAAATTTCTCTTTATTTTGGACTTTTCTCTTTCAGCTGTGAATTATTCTGGATTTAAAAGTTTTACTGCAGATCTCATGGTGTGCTGTCATTAATGTGCTGGGATCAGTTATACAAACATATATTGCTGCCATGCTCCTGCTGCCTGATTCAAACTCCAGTGACAGTGCTGCATCTCTACATAAAAGAAAGATAAGAAAGGTTAATGAAACTTGCAAGAGAATTTGTGCTTTTATACTGCTTTTTTATTACATCTTAATGGGTATTTATGTATAAATTAACAGTAGGCCTACTGTAATGTACTGCTATGCACCTACATACCAGTGATGCCTGCACAGCACAGCTTGAAACTTGGATACAACTTTGTGCTCAGTGAAGCGCTGGCCTCACTGGGAGTAGAGGCCCCATGACACCATCTGTCATCTGAGTAGGAGCATGCCCCAACGTAGTCAGGCATGCATACAAGAATGTAGGGGCCATACAAACTACTGAGTGAAATTTTGAATTATTGCAATGAAATTTGCAGTTGCTGTACTTTAGCATTTAGTACTTACCATGTTTTACTTCACAGTAGAGGAGAAGTCCAGTGATATCTGATCAGGTCACAGTCTAGTTGAAAATGGTGGTTTGTAAGGAATGATTTGGCTCTCTCTGAGGTTTGTCTTCAATCCAAACAATTGGGTAAAATTTTGACCCAATATTTGATCAAAGTCACCCAACCTATAAACAGACAAAATTATTCAAGCCTGGGAGTTAATTAAAGAACCCAGCACATCGCCAACCCAACTCCTGAGTCACAACTTTTGAACCAATTTTTGGTCAAACTAACCCAACTTCTGAACCTATAAGTGTCAGAGTGAATTATTAAATGTTGTCATTTTTATGCTTACCATCTCTACATTGTTTTAACTCTGTGATGAAAGGAATTCTTTTGTCCCCCTCCCCAGATTCTTGAGGTTCTGGGTGGGGGCTGTAGTGTTATCACAAGCACATCCTTGTGACTGTTTGTTTGATGTTTGGTAAGCTTCCTGCCCTTTTTGTGGCTTCACTGTGTTATCTAGGGTGAACCATAAATTGGGTGTGGTGGACACTACCCTCTTTATGCCTTGGATGTTGCTTCCTGCTTTTATGACCCTTTTGGTCAGCAGGAGAACACACATACATTCTCACATAACACACACATCCTTACCTATTCAATTCAATTCTATTTTATTTATATAGCGCCAAATCACAACAAAAGTCACCTCAAGGCGCTTCATAGATACAGAGAAAAACCCAACAATCATATGACCCCCTATGAGCAAGCACTTTGGCGACAGTGGGAAGGAAAAACTCCCTTTAACAGGAAGAAACCTCCGGCAGAACCAGGCTCAGGGAGGGGCGGCCATCTGCTGCGACCGGTTGGGGTGAGAGAAGGAAGACAGGATAAAAGACATGCTGTGGAAGAGAGACAGAGGTTAATAACAGATATGATTCAATGCAGAGAGGTCTGTTAATACATAGTGAGTGAGAAAGGTGACTGGAAAGGAAAAACTCAATGCATCATGGGAATCCCCCGGCAGCCTACGTCTATTGCAGCATAACTAAGGGAGGATTCAGGGTCACCTGCTCCAGCCCTAATTATATGCTTTAGCAAAAAGGAAAGTTTTAAGCCTAATCTTGAAAGTAGCGATAGTGTCAGTCTCCTGAATCCAAACTGGAAGCTGGTTCCACAGAAGAGGGGCCTGAAAACTGAAGGCTCTCCCTCCCATTCTACTTTTAAATACTCTAGGAACGACAAGTAGGCCTGCAGAGCGAGAGCGAAGTGCTCTAATAGGGTGATATGGTACTACAAGGTCATTAAGATAAGATGGGGCCTGATTATTTAAGACCTTGTATGTGAGGAGCAGGATTTTGAATTCAATTCTGGATTTAACAGGAAGCCAATGAAGGGAAGCCAAAACAGGAGAAATATGCTCTCTCTCTCTAGTCCCTGTCAATACTCTTGCTGCAGCATTTTGGATTAGCTGAAGGCTTTTCAGTGAGTTTTTTGGACATCCTGATAATAATGAATTACAGTCGTCCAGCCTGGAAGTAATAAATGCATGAACTAGTTTTTCAACGTCACTCTGAGACAGGATATTTCTAATTTTAGAGATGTTGCGCAAATGGAAGAAAGCAGTCTTACATATTTGTTTAATATGTGTGTTGAAGGACATGTCCTGGTGAAAAATGACTCCAAGGTTCCTCACAGCGTTACTGGAGGCCAAGGTAATGCCATCCAGAGTAAGAATCTGCTTAGATACCATATTTCTAAGATTTTCAGGGCCGAGTACAATAACCTCAGTTTTATCTGAATTAAGAAGCAGAAAGTTAGCGGCCATCCAGGTCTTTATGTCTTTAAGACATTCCTGCAGTTTAACTAATTGGGGTGTGTTATCTGGCTTCATGGACAGATAGAGCTGGGTGTCATCAGCATAGCAGTGAAAATGTATGCTATGTCTTCTAATGATGCTGCCTAAGGGAAGCATGTATAATGTAAACAGAATTGGTCCTAGCACTGAACCCTGTGGAACTCCATAATTAACCTCAGTGTTTGAAGAGGACTCTCCATTTACATGCACAAATTGGAGTCTATTAGATAGATATGATACAAACCACTGCAGTGCAGTACCTGTAATACCTACAGCATGTTCTAATCGCTCTAATAGGATATTATGGTCAACAGTATCGAACGCTGCACTGAGGTCTAGCAGGACAAGCACAGAGATGAGTCCACTGTCAGAGGCCATAAGAAGATCATTTGTAACCTTCACTAAAGCTGTTTCTGTGCTGTGATGAGCTCTGAAACCTGACTGAAACTCTTCAAATAAACCATTCCTCTGCAGATGATCTGTTAGCTGTTTGACAACTACTCTTTCAAGGATTTTTGATATGAAAGGAAGGTTGGAGATTGGCCTATAATTAGCTAAGACTGCTGGGTCTAGAGATGGCTTTTTGAGTAAAGGTTTAACTACAGCCAGCTTGAAGGCCTGTGGCACATAGCCAATTATTAGAGATAGGTTGATCATATTTAGGATTGAAGAATTAATTAATGGCAGGACTTCTTTGAGCAGTTTTGTAGGAATGGGGTCTAAAAGACACGTTGATGGTTTGGAGGAAGTAATTATTGAAGTTAACTCAGAAAGATCAATTGGAGAAAAAGAGTCTAACTTAACATCGATGGTACTAAGAGTAGCTGTAGATAATATTACATCTGTGGGATGATTACTGGTAATTTTTTCTCTAATGATAAAAATTTTATTTGTGAAGAAGTTCATGAAGTCATTACTAGTTAACGTTAAAGGGATGGTTGGCTCAAAAGAGCTCTGACTTTTTGTCAGCCTGGCTACAGTGCTGAAGAGAACACACACACCTACACACACACACACACACACACATACAGTGCCTTGTCTTTGTAACCAAGGGGGGTTACGAGGGGAGGTGCATGTAAACTATTGTTTATTGTGTGAACGTTTTCAATAAAAGGCAGTGAGAGGAGGCCATCGTCGGGGTCATTCGTAATGAGATTCGAAGTGCGTTTCTGAGTGTCAAGAGATGTATTCTAAGACACTTCTTCAGCTGAGAATCAGAGAGGAGAAACACACAGTTTTTACTTGCAGCAAATGCAGCCACAGAGCGCTCGCATGAGAGTGAGTCAGAGTGTGACCCCATAAGGACTTCAGTTCATCTAAACAAAAGGCACTTAGACTAAAACTGACATAGTTACATTTATCCTACTGTAAGGCAGTGACTGGAATAAGTCACAAGGTGTCGCTGTTGAGCTGCATATGTATGGTAGAGCTAAGCAATTTTGACTATTTGTCCTCTGCAGGACACCGTAGTTCAGATTTCTCATTCGCGCGGGCGCCATCTTGGTTCAGTGTTTACTGTGATTTGCAAAGGGCCAGCAGCAGAGTTGGAGTGGTGTTTGCCCCAGCATCTGAATAAACGGCACGGTCCGAGCCACAAATTGAACGCCTGTGTCCGACTGGTCTCTCTACTGTGCACCCCAATCCAACACAAACTTACACAACGCAGAGTCCGGGGTGTAGGGAGGCCCCTGCACTGGTTGGGTTACACTACCATAAAACAAAGAGAAGGTACGACCTCACCAGAGCTACTCGGTGTTGCATCACTGCAATCCGTAATGCATCGCTTTCCTCATTCTGCTGTTCGTTGATCTTGCACGAAGCCTTCAAGAAGAGTACAAAACAATAGTCCAGAGTTTCAATCCTCAGCATGTTTTTCCAGTTCCCACCCAGGGGAACAATGAATGGAGTACTTACTGTCCGGTAGTCCATAATTTGAATTCCTTGGGTACGTCGCTTCCCCATATCGGGTCATGTGGTTGAAGTTTAGGGAACGTTGATCTTCTTTTCCGGAGTGCTGTAGAAGTGGTGTTTACTGCGGTCATCCTGAAAGTGTGGTCTGACAGGAATATAGGAGCACATGTTCCTGTCCAGCCTGGGGGCAGTATGAAATATGCCCGTTGTCCACATAGCCAGGCCATTCCTTGCACCCAGTACATGCCGTCCACTCATATTCACAGGGGCGCCCTCTCCATGGCCTGCAGTTTGGACACAGTTTGTGGTGTTTCCAAGGGGTCTGTTACCTTTCTCTTGTTGATAACACATGGAGTGGTTCTTCCCTGGGAGTTGGTCCAGGAACACTGGGAAGTGGATGGATGTATAATGTGTTTGTCACATTGAAATCGATCCAGAAGAGTTGATCACATGTTCCATTACTAAGTCCAACAGCATGTGAGATTGTATTGTTGGTGGTGATTTGGCTGTGTTGGAATCCAATGCCAGCAAAGCTAGCTGCACACTTTGCTTGAGTGTTGTTCATATATTCACCATATAGTGTGGGGTGTGTCGACGCGCTGGGCATATGAGAACAGACATAACAGTGTATTTGCAGATTCTGCCTTTGTCCTGTTGTGGATAAAACGGTACCAGGCATTGTTCATCCACGGGTGGATGTGGTCTTGTGTCATGTCTCTTAGATGAGAGTTGTCGTGTGTCCATCTTTTCTGTCTGCCTCGAGGTTCAA